AAATTTTTTTTTTTTTTTTTTTTTTTTGTAGCTGTCACTAATTGGACTTTTGGCCTTTTCTTGTATATTACGGGCAGAGTTGCTTGAATTGAGTTTTTGGCCGTTGAAAGCATTCCATTTCATGGAAGGCAATGGCCTGCCATCATTGGGTCGTGTGAAGCTTACCGATTTAGCACCATCTGAAGGCGTTCCTTCTGAGTCTTTCAAATCATCGGTCACAACTTTGTCACATTCACTAGCTCAATACTCTGCTGCCATCATACAATTCCCTGTATATGATGGGGCTCTTTTAAGGTCTGGTTTAGATTCTGCTCGCCTTTACTTCCATCAGAGAGCTGCATGTCCATCTGCTGAGTTGATGCAAAACAATGATTCGCTGGAGTGGTGCAGAACTTCTGGTTACTATACGGATGCTCAGGGGTGGCAAGAAACGTATGATTATAGGCCTGGATTGACTCAAGTTGAGCCTGGCAATGAAATGGAGATACCACCAGCAGGTTTGCCAGATATATATGCAGTTTTTGGAAAGGCATCTCGAATTATTTTGGATGCGATTAGCTTCTCTCTAAACTTGCGCAGCTCTCCTTTCACAGAAATACTCGATAATGTTCCCCTAAGAAGTAGGGAGATATCATCTTCCGTGTTGTCTGTGTGCTGTTATGGGAGGCCCTCATTTCATGGAGAGCATCACCATAAATTTGCTCAAGAGGATAGCCAGTTGGCAATGTATACATCTGACCATGAACATCAGATTGATAAAAGTCTTATTACTCTGGTCAAGTCGGACAAGGCAGGTTTACTGATAAAAGATTTCCATGGTAGATGGATTCTTGTGGATGGAGATCTTGGTCCTCAAGATGCTGTAGTTTATCCCGGACTTGCACTCTATCAAGCAACTGCGGGGTATGTGAATCCTGCTCTGCTCAGAACGGAAGTGAATAATATTCAAGGTAGTATGTATGGACGATGTTCCTTGTCATTCAAACTCATGCCTAAATCCATGACTAGCCTTAATTGTTCAGAAATGAGAGCAGCTGGCCATGGGGTAGATGTTCAATTCCAACTTCCAGTACCAGTTGACGACTTTATGCAGAGATCACCCTCTACCGACCAACTCTTTAACCGCCCAAATTTCCAGAATTTCAGTTTGTCGACATCCCAAGAGGGTAGGCCAAATCTTCTTTTTATAATTTTTGCTTTTGTTGCCGATGAATGTCATTTATTGAGGTTTCTTTCTGTAACCTCCCTTGGTATGGGGTTTGGCTCTCCCCTTTTTGTAACTTAATTTCATCAGTGGAATCATTTCTTATTGAAAAAGAGTCATAAATTCAATATTAATCTTGTTTTACACGTTTAGTACTTGTGTATTTGGTCAATGAATTTTTAATTTACCCTTCCTTTCCCTTCGATGTCTTTCCTAGATATAATAAGGAGCCATCTTCTTAGATTGCCATTTTGCTATATATTTGGAGAATTTCTTTATATAGTGAAAGAGCGTTGTGAGAAAATGATTCAATGTTTTAATGTATACTCTTGGGTGAAATATGGATTGGAAGCCGCATATTTTGCATTCTTTTGATGTTTATTATTGCTTGATAGTTTGAATGCTTTCTGTTCGTTCCATCTTTATCCACTTGTTGGGTAGTGTAGCTTCTTAGTAACCTCCTAGTGTAAGTAGACCCCTTAGTGAGAAGCTTTTAATTAACAGGCTGTTGGATCGATGAAATGCTGGTACAGGATCCATAAAATTGAGGAGGAGAAAGAATAATTCAAGTACCAAACCACTACCCCCTTCTAAGAGATTACGGCTTGAGGCACAGAGAGTTCTGAAGGAGAGAGTACAGGACATCGCAGATAAGAAGGGTATCAAATTAAGGTTCTGTAATCTGAAGGATTGTGAGAGTCACATTCACAGGTTAGATAGCCCTTGTGCCAGCACAAGGATGGAGATTGGATGGCCTCCTGGAGTGCCGTTTGTTCATCCTCATGATCTACCTAATAAGGCAAAAATTGGTTTTCTTGAAGCTTACGAGCCTGGTTGGTCAGCTAGTCATGACATTGAATTAAGTCTTACTGAACCTGGACAAGTGGGTCAACAGTCAACCAACTGTAAGTGGATCTATGTCATATTCGCATTTGCATGTTACAGAATGGTTCTTGTTTTTAGCTCCCAACACATTCCCGCTTTGCAAATTGCGTAAAATATGAATGATGCTTACTGTATTTGGTCCATTTCAGAAAATCCTTGATCATGATCATGATGTATAGATACTTGTTATAGTATTATTGCCTTCAGAAGAGGGAAGTGAAATCGTACTTGTGTATCATTATCTTCCTATCGAGTGAAGGTGGGTAAGGACAGAGTACAAATTTGTAGGCATGTACAATATTTCCCATTATTCATTGTAATTTTTCCTTGTCCCTGATTTTTTTCTTTTATTTGCTCACTTTTTTTTTAATTTTTCCTTCCTCCCCTTCGTTTGCCAAGCGTTTGTAACCAAAAAATCTCCTAGACAATTTTATGAACCTTTCAGGAATCAGGAAGATTAACTGGTTAATGGAAGAGATATTAAAGCTATATAACAATGTTGCATTTGCTGTGTGTGTGCCTTGGGGAGGCATTCGTGAGTATTGGAAACTCGATATACAATTGGAAGTTGTGTCCATGTTTGATGGCAGGGGAATCATTGACAGAAGATTACCTTGGTCCACAAGTGAATTGAAGCCTATAGTATATATTTCCTTGAAGCTTGAAGATAATTGTGTTGGATCCTTTGAGCTCCATGCTGCTTGTGTTTCACACTCTTTAGTAGCTCTTCTTTATAACTATTTTACCACCAGTCCAGCACGTATATCTCTTGGTATCATGGGTTTTCGCTCTAGCGTAGACTGATTTTAGTATAACTTATTCAAATTTTTAATGTGCACGTGAGTTTTACCTCGAGGATACATATTGGTGCCGTAGGGGGTTTGAAAGTTTAGCACTGGCTAGGCTGTCACGTATACCATTTTCATTAAATCATACTACTTGATGTAGATTTGGCACTGTCTTCGTGCACCGAAGACACAAGCTCTCTGTTCTTTTACTCCAATTTTTCTACCTCATCTTGTTCTTTCTGCTTTCACTTGCTTAGCTTCCATGTTTGTTTGCTCTATCTGCATTTCTTCCTTACTTAAATGTTTGTTTTAGCTTTATTCCTTTTAGATGTCAATGGCCAATTGTTTTTTATTCATGTCTCTGTAGGAATCAGTTCATATTCTGTACATCAATAGATTCTCAAGGCCTTGTAGCTTGCAACTTCAAAACCAGTTCCATTCTTGGCCGTTGATCAGCTCATAATACCTTCATTCGGATTGTTGTTTTGATGCCCAACGTCAACAGATCGTGCCTATTTGCATCTCCAGCATAGACTGTACATACAAGTTATTTTCCGGGTAACCCAGCTTCATCTTCTTACTTATTGGAGGATAGTTCTCGAAGAAATCGATCAGTTAAGTTCGTGAACCAGTAATGGTAATGGAGCGGGAACAACTATTTCCTTTGAATTCTAGTAGAGAATTTTCTCATGTGAGTCAATCACACCTTCATGTTCCTGCACTAGTGTAGCCAGCTGCTTTGGTCAATATGATCTATAAAATTTGGGAAATACGATAAAGAGCAGAAATATACGAACTTTGAGGTTCCCGAAGAAATGTTCCCTTTTTTTCTGAATGTTCCCTTTTTTTCTGTTCCTGATACTGTTCTGCTTTTTAGCGACGTGTTGTGACTCGAGCTCTTCACAATACGTTCTCTTTTGTTTTTAGCTTCTATGATAGTTTTCCATTTGAAGTGTGGGATCCTTATGACATTCCAAGCAAGGTGATCCTTGTAGCCATTCTTAAGCTTTAAAATTCAGATTGCCTTTTTTCTTGTTTGGGTTGCAGAACTTTAAAGATTGTGATATTTTCCATTCTTCTCTTTACTACTACTTGCTAAATAATTTTTGTTTCATAGATCTTTGGAAGAGAACGAAAGAAAACAAGGGGATCGAGGTAAGGCAGCTGCTAATCTCCTGCCGTTCGTTCGTTCGTTCATTCACTCACACAAACTGCAGGTGTTCAACCTAGCTGTTTATTCATTTACATTAGCTGTTTATTCATATAAAAGACGATCACGATATGAATGTTCAATGCTGCACCTTCGTCGTAGAATAGGTAGTTTCCATTTTCATTTTCATTTTCATTCATGTAAATAGATTTACAGAAGTGCAATAGGAAGAAGAACGCTCTGAACCAATTGGTTCAACCTTGCGATTCTGGAAAAGTATCCAGAAGTTGGTTTGATGGTGATGTATCTGCATCTGTTTTTTCACTTGGTGTCAAATTAATCGTTTCACTGTAGGTTGATTTGCTCAACCAAACAGAGTTGAAAAGAACTATACCGACATATCCTGAAGTTGAAATGAGTTATTTGCACAAATTTCCAGCAATTGATCTTCACCGGCTGGGACGCCCCGGTGTTGGTTGTTGTGCTGATGCAAGGGTGTACAAGGATTTAAGCTGCTTGCTGTCATGGAGAGCTAGCTGATGCTGCAAATCATCAGACCACCATTGTTCCAATCCATGAGCTTCAAGAAACTTATGTTTTCCCATTGACATCACAAACAACTTTGCTGCAGCTGCCGCCGCTTTCCCATTCCCATTTGTGGGGGTAACATTTTCTTTCCCTTCATTGCTTTTCTCTACTTGATCAGATTCAGTATATGAACAGCATGTTATTTACATATAGATGTGCGACCCACTTCCCTGGATTCTTCAACATGTTTAGATTCGATACCCAACTCCTTGAACCAGCTGCTGTTGATGTTTTTTCTCCTAAACTATTGCTGTTCTCTGTTGTTTCCCTGCCTGAATGAAGCATTGATTTGATTCTCTTCCAAGCAAACTCTGCCTTTTCCCCTATGTTCTTCAAGCTCATAGCTACTGAAACAGGAGGAGGATTAAACAAGTGAGTTTCAACATAGATTCCTTCTTTAGCTAAGGCCTTCCCCATCTGTAGAGCAAACCCAGCACCTAAGGAATGACCAGGAATACAAACATTGTTGCTTCCCTAACTCTCAGCACAAGATTTCAATGCCTCCAAAGCTACATTAAACCTGACAGAACCCTTCAAACTTTCCCAAGCAAGAAACCGAATGTCGTCTTCGATGTCCCGCCAGAATGTCGGGCTTTTGAGTAATGTCCCTCTTAGTGCTTAAACAGCCCTTGGTGCACCACTGGGTCTGATGAGTACTAAGTCAGCCATGGCTGCAGACCTATCCCATTCTAGTATTGCACCAAAATATGGACCCATTGGCTCTTTTATTAATCAAGGTTTGAACTAGCTTGTATTTGAAGGGGATCCACCATTTGGGAGCCAGAGCATTTTCTTTGTTGCTTCTGTTCTCTTGTCTGTCTAGTTCAGGCAACAACAGTTCTTTTGTAATTCCCATCCTTCCTGCCGAATTTGTCAAATTCCTCATCAGATTCATTTCGTTTTAGGATTAAATTTCAGAAGGTCCAAACCAACCAAACTCACTCCCAGCTGATATTATATGTTGTTTAGACTTTTTCTTTATCGGTAAGAGTCCAAATCTATCGCTAGCAGAAATTGTTCTTTTTAAGCTTGTTCATTAGTAGATATTGTCTCCCTTGAGCTTTTTCTTTTTTCCCTGTTGAGTTTCTGTGAGAGAGCGTAAAACAATGGGAAACAAAGTCACCAAGATTTTGCTCAGAATCGGATTTGATGCAGATATCTTAAAATATTTATTTTTCTCAAATGGAAGGGAAACGCCCAGCTTTTGTAAATTTTCAATGGTCATATTTACATGTCCCTTCGTCCCTAATTGTCAAATGACCAAAATTACCCCCCTTTTTTTGTGTGAATATTTTAGATTTATTTTATAGTCGTTTGAATTTCTTCTTCAATTTAATTTTAGCTTAATAGTAAAAATATCCTCAAATTTTCAAAAAAATATTATTCAAAAGTAGTAATATTATTTTTTATATTTTTAAAACATTCCAAAACTATTATTGAAGTAAAAGTCTGTCAAAATATTATATAAAAAACTCAACATAATTCTTTTTGCTTAATTTAAGCAATCGTTTTGGTTTTTATCATGTCATTCTAGACATTCGTGTAATAATTTGCTAATTAATTTTTAATTTGAGAATAAACTTTAAAGAAAGATGCAACTTTTTTTAAAAAATAAAACATTTTTTAAATTAAATAACAAAATTAATTAATATTTTAAATATATTAAAAAAACTAAAATATTTATTAAGTTATATGAAGTTAATATGTATTGAGTGTAATATCAATTGATTCATTGATATACTAATTTATGAAAATATTAATATTAAAAAATATTAGCGATGAAAAAAAACTTAATTTTCATTTATTTTTAGAGTGCATAATTGAACATACTTATATTTATTTCCCAATTTATGTGGCGAAGGTAATTTCAATCAAATTACAAAAATTGAAGTGGCTATAAATGCACGATGGAAATTAATATTCCAAAAACCAAATTGAAAAACTGGAAAAATAAATAAATAAATAAATCAATTGTAGCCGCTAATTTATGGGGAAATTGTTCAAGCTCCGCTTCCAGTCCCAGTAATGGTGACCAGAAGCCATAGATTTTTCACTTGAAAACAACGAAATCATGGCCTCGAATCTCATTACTGCGTTTCATTGCCCGAATCCGTACCCTTCTTCTTCTTCTTACTCAAATCTGCAGCAGAATACATCGCTCCTTTTGAAGTTCCATTCTCGTTGTTCATCTTCTTCGAGAAAATTCGCTGTTTCAGAGGGCGCTGAGGGTAGAGTTCAAGATGAAGAGCTTCTCATTTCGTCTTCTTCTGGTATGCATCAATTCACTGCTTCGTCTCTCTTTTCTTGTTGTTTAGTTGTTCCTTCAAAATTGTGAGTAGGTTGATTCTTGTCTGTGTAATCCTATAGTTTAAGGCCGCTTATAATGAAAGAATCCTATTCCTAGTACTCAACGCTTGAGATTTTAAATTGTTTTTGTGAAATCCAAGTGGTCTATCGCTATAAATATATTAAAGTAAAGATGATCTTGCTTTTTCTTGTTAAATACATTTGTGGTTTCTTTGCTTTGACATGGCCTGATTCCATTTCCAATTCAGTTCTTGTGGTTTCAAAATTTTCAATATCATTCATATTATAGTTCTTATTATTTGAGTAAAGGTTATCAAACATTTGTTGTGACCAATGAATAACAAAAACGCAATATAGAGAGCTATTTGTGGACAATATCCTCTGGTACTCCAAAACAACATTAGTCATAGCCATTTTTATAATTTTCAATCAAAATGATGCCTTAAGAGCCAACCAAAATTTATGTCTCAAGTCAATTTTATGCATCACACCAAAATAATCTATCATAGAGTTCATTTTCAATATCTATGAACAACTTGCCATATGGGATTTTTGTTACACTTCTGTATATGATAACCTTTAAGCAAATAATGACGACGAAATATGAAAGTTTTAGAAGTATAGAAATCAAATTGAAACTAGAGTTAAAGCGTTAGACTAAAAGTGTAGTTTAACGTACTCGGTTTAAAGATTAACCATTTTTCTTTTCACATGTAAAGGAGCATCTTCTTCTGCACGCACACAGCTTGATCTCTTGGAGCAACTCTCTTCCGGTAGCCAATTAGTTGATGGTAAGTGGGCTTATTTCATTGAAATGTACTAGTCTTATTTCATTGAAAAATGTCATATCTGAGAGATCCCACATCGGTTGGGGAGGAGAACAAAACATTCTTTATAAGGGTGTGGAGACTTCTCCCTAGCAAACGCATTTTAAAAACCTTGAGGGAAGCCCGAAAGAGAAAGCCCAAAGATGATAATATCTGCTAGCGGTGAGCTTGGGTTGTTACAATTTCACTTGAACTTACTGAGATTTTATGTTCTCAGGTTATGAGAGTGATGGCAATTACCAGAGAACTACAATCCGTGATCAGCTTGCACAATTGTTCAGAGACAGAGACGACGATTTTAGCATTCCGTTGGGTAAGAACTTGAAGAAGGTTAGTGCCAAGTTTTTGACAATTTCACAGAAGAGGAACATCAAAAGACAAGAATACTTGAATGAAGTATCTCAAAGGAATGATTCAGTTTTCTTTGCTACAGTTGGAGCATTTGTAATTCTGCCACCTATTGTAATATTAGGTATTGCTATACTGACTGGTTATGTGCAACTTTTTCCATGATATGCTGTTTATACAAACATCATATATATATATAGAAGTGGTAATATCTTGATATCCTTAACCCCGTGTTCATAGTTTCTATTGTTCAATTTTTAGTTCTATATTTCTTGAAAAGTTACGACCGGCTGCTGTTTCATATATGATTTTACCGTTTAAGAATAAAAAACGTCAGAATTAGTCCCTGTGGTTTGATAAAACTTTACAAAACAGTCCCTATCTAGAAACTATTTATGGGGTTTTATCAAATCACAAGGACCAAAATAACTCCTTGCTTTTGTAACAGATCCGTTCTTGATTTCTAAGGAGACCCACTGTGGTGTGTGCTTAGTGACATTGGTGCGAGTCCCGACAAGGTGCGATTGTGACCCATAGGCCCAAGGTGCGACCTATGCACCTTGTTTCAAAGAAGTGAGACTCTTCTTTTGAGGCTCGTGCCGAGTTCTCAAGCCCAACTAAACACATTAACATTCCTAAAATCTCAAAAAACACTCAATTTTCTTAACCTTTACATTATAAAAAATTTATTTACATTCTTAAAAAAAACTGAAGCCCTAAAGGGCTATTGCACTTTAGTCAAGTGAGCCTCGAGCTTTGGAAAGCACGAGAGACGAGTGAAGAACAATAACATTCACTCTCCGTCTCTAACAAAATCTAGAAAATGAAACTTACAAATCCCAATAAGAAGAGAGAAATGATAAGAAGAGTGACAACAATCTCATGTTAGTGAAAACAACCTTTTGACAACTCTGTTTACTCCTTCAGCATGGATCAGTAGGCAGTTCCTTTTGCTTGTCATTTGGTGAGAGCCCTTGATCAGTAGGTGTTACCAAATCACTGCCCAAAATAACTCCTTGCTTTTGTATATACTCCAGTTTGTCTTGGAATAGGTAAAAGAAGGAAATCAAAGAAATTTCAACAGTGAAAATTATGGTCCAAATTCGTATCCTTCGTGACGTTTTCTCGTGGTAAGCAAATAATCCTGAGTATACATTGAAAACTCCTAGGAGAGATACTGCAGTGCCAAGCATCCAGTGTATGAAAAACCATAGGCTCCTTGTTCTAGAGCCCCTGCCAGAATATGAGAAAGGAATGGATTCAGAGTATACAAATTGAAACAAATCATACTATTCCTCTTTCCTGATCTAAATCCACTGAACACTACTTCCTTTGTTTTGTTATCTAAATCCACGGACAGGAATGAATTACGGGGTCCCACATCAGTTGGAGAGAGGAAATAAGTATTCTTTATAAGGATGTGGAAACCTCTCCCTAGCAGACACGTTTTAAAATTGTGAGGCTGACGACGATATGTAACAAGGTATAGCAAACAATATCTGCTAGCGGTGAGTTTGGGCTGTTTCAATACTACTTTGAAAACAACCTCACAATAACTCTTTCTAATAAACTATTGCTGCATATTTGAAGAAAATATGAAACTTTACCTCTTTGGCCTTACAATTCCAATCAATGCCTGTAACCAGATCATCCCATATAGGCCAATCCCTATTCTTTGATGGTTATTATTGAAAGCATTGTTGAATTTCTTGATAGACATGACTGCTCCAGCTGTGACTAGTAATACAGAGAGTATCTGTTCATCATAATCAAGTTAAGATAATGTAATGAACCCATCTTTGTGATTAAAGGATCATCAAAATCCATCAAACTGCTACTATAAATTTGGAATTTTAACTATCTAATTAGTTAGAATGTGATGATGCCTGTCTTTTCTTTCGATGCAAGTATTCATAATATTCTGCTGGATCAACTTTTTGTGTTTAGAAACTTGGGGGCTGTATAAGATATTCAGAATCAGGGCCCTTGGGATTTCTCTTGAACCATCATTAAGCTCATAAAGTCAAGAAAAATGTGGATTGTTTGCTTGTTTAGTGAAAAGATAAAGCTAATTGCATTAATGATGATGCTTTCGTGCAACTCTATGTAGTTATTGTTTGTTTAGTTTAAAAGGATTCTTCTTTAAGAAAACAAACACCATAGAGTTTATTTTAGGCCCCATTTGATGATCAAAGGATTCACTATGGTTTTCACTTTCCTTAACGTAGAAACAATAGAATTCTTACCCAAATTTAAAAAACGAAAGCAAGTTTTTTCAGAATCTTTTAGTTTTTGAATAAAGAAAGAAACATTTAGGTGGAAGTAATGTGTGAGATCCCATGTCGGTTGGGGAGGAAACGAAACATTCTTTACAAGGGTGTGGAAACCCCTCCCTAGCAGACACGTTTTAGAAACCTTGAGGGGAAGCTTGAAAGAGAAAGCCCAAAGAGGACAATATCTGCTAGCGGTGGGCTTGGACAGTTATAAATGGTATAAGAGCCAGACACCGGAGGATTTGTCAGTGAGGAGGCTAATCCCTAAAGGGGGGTGGACACGAGGCGGTGTGCCAACGTCCTTAGGAGTGGATTGGGGGTCCCACATCGATTAGAGAAGAAAACGAGTACCAATGAGAATGTCGGGCCCCAAATGGGGGGTGGATTGTGAGATTCCACATCGGTCGGGAAGGAAACGAAACATTATTTATAAGAGTGCGGAAACCTCTCCCTAACAGGCACGTTTTAAAAACCTTGAGGGGAAGCCCGAAAGGGAAAGCTCAAAGAGGACAATATCTACTAATTGTGGACTTGGGCAATTACAAATAGTATTAGAACCAGACACCAAGCATTGTGTTAGCAAGGAAACTGATCCCCTAAGGGGGTGGACACGAGGCTGTGCCAGCAAGGACAATGGGCCCCGAAAGAGGGGTGGATTGGGAGGGTCCCACATCGATTGAAGAAGGGAACGAGTGCCAGCGAGGACGTTGGGCCCTGAAGCGGGGTGGATTGTGAGATCCCACATCGGTTGGGGAGAAAACAAAATATTCTTTATAAGGGTGTGGAAACCTCTCCCTAGCAGACGTGTTTTAAAACCTTGAGGGAAAGCTCGAAAGGGAAAGCCTAAAGAGGACAATATCTACTAGCGGTGGGCTTGAGCCGTTATATAACTTTCAAAAACCAAAATAGTTATCGAACGGAATTTCATTATTGCTAGAGAAGATTGAGATGAACAAGAGATGAACTTGCCTGTAGAATTGTGTGAATGTAAAAGTAAAACTTCAGCCTTCTTCCACATTGCTCTCTGTTGGACATTCTGATAACTAGAATCCCAACCGGCATAAGGAACCCCATTGAAGCCCATAGAAGAAATCCATGGAGTGTGATATCAAATAGTAAGCTGGAACTAATCTGCTGCCATTATTAACCAATAATCACTTTCAGCTATACATTCTAAACCTTCTTTTTCTGCAATGATATTCATTTCAAATATGAAAATGAAACAATAGGAAGAACAATAAGAAACCTTCTGGCTGTGATCTTTCTTGCTTGTATTGAATTCCACATTTTTCTTGAGCTGTTGGGATGAACTGAGTGGTTGAAATGTGAGAAGAAGAAGGAGAAAAAGAATGGAGAAAGAGGACTTTTTGTTCTGTAAAAATAGCATTGTTTATTTGCTTATGATGAAACAGGCACCAAGCACAATGCAGAACCCACTCTTGAAAGCTGCTTACTTGGTTGCTATGGATTTCACAAGGGGTCTTCAAAGCTTTTGTAGCAACGAGGTAAAAGGAAAAGGCTGGACAATGTCAGAGGAGGGGAGCAATAAAGGGTTGTGATCAATAATGCCTAAAGAGGACGCTCAACTAAGGTACTTGATTTTTCTCTAGAAATACATCTGCCTTGTGTTGGATGTTGATCTAAAAATATGTCGGTCTCTAATGACCATTAGATACAAAAACAGATTACTTTTACAATTTCTGTCTCACATATCATCTGTCTGTGCAAAATTATCGTAACGGCTTATCATCTATCTGTGCAAAATTATCGTAACGGCCCAAGCACACTGCTAGTAGATATTGTACTCTTTGTGCTTTTTCTTTCGGGCTTCTGCTCAAGGTTTTTAAAATGTGTCTGCTAGGAAGAGGTTTCCACACTTTTATAAAGAATGCTTCATTTTCTCCCCAACTGATGTGGGATCTCACAGTCCACCCCCCTTCGAGGCCCAGCCTCCTCGTTGGCATATCGCTCGGTGTCTGGCTCTGATACCATTTGTAACGGCCCAAGCTCACTGTTAGTAGATATTGTCCTCTTTGGACTATCTCTTTCGGGCTTTCCTTCAAGGTTTTTAAAACGCGTCTACTAGGGAGAGGTTTCTACACTCTTATAAAGAATGTTTCATTCTTCTCTCCAACCGATGGGATCTCACAATCCACCCCTTTTCGGGGTCCAGCGTCCTCGCTGACACTCGTTCCCTTCTCCAATTGATGTGGGACCCCCCGATCCACTCCCTTTGGGATATAGTGTCCTTGTTGGCACACCGCCTCTTGTCCACCCCCTTTCTGGGCTCAGCCTCCTCACTGGCACATTGCACGGTGTCTGGCTCTGATACCATTTATAACAGCCTAAGCCCATCGCTAGCAAATATTGTCTTCTTTCTGCTTTCTTTTTCGTGTTTCCCCTCAAGTTTTTTAAAACGCATCTACTAGGGAGAGGTTTCCACACCGTTATAAAGAATGTTTCGTTCTCCTCCCCAACTGATGTGGGATCTCATAATCACTCTACATACATTCTCACCATACAACAAGTCGATCAAAAGTTGGAGGTTTGATACTCGATGATTTTCTTTGACTTTAAGAAAACCATCTCACATGATCTAGAAAGCAAAAGAAAAAGTAGGAACTGTTTGAGTTGGTGCTATCCTGTAGGGTTTCTTTTAGCATGAACATCTCAAGAACAGGTAGTATGGACAAAGTCTTCAACCATGTGGGGTTCACTGTGTGAAATTTTATATGATTTTATGGGGAGTGACATAAAGAATGTAGTGGAATTTCACAGCAAAAATGGTTACAACTTTCAATAAGAGAAGAAAATGCTAGCCACAATCTGAAAGTGGGCTGTTAGTGGATATTGCTCAGAACATTATCTTTTTTGTTCTCCACATTCAACAAATTTGTTTGTTTCCATTGAACTCAACATTATTCAACAGGAGCTGTGTTATATTGGCACTCAACCATTTGCTCCTTATTACATCATTTTTTAGTCACCATCTTTTGTTCTTGCATCATCTAACCGTTACGTGTTTAGAGGTGATAATTGTTAGATTATCTATGATTTAATATTCTACGAGTTTACTTTGATAGTCGAATACAGTAGAGTTGAACAGTTGTTCGTTGAAATTAATCATGTTGAGTGCAAGCTGACTTGAAACGCTCACATATACTTTTTGACCTATTTTATTAGTTTATTTGGTTACTATTATTGAGTTCTAAGGGATAAAGATTTGTGGATAGAGTGGATGTAGCAACGGGTTTAAGTTTTATCGACACGTCGATATTTCCACATATAGGATTGTTAGATGAACACGACTTTCCACAATGGTATGATATTGTCCACTTTGAGCATAAGCTCTTACGCCTCATACCAATGGAGAGAGTATTCTTTGATTATAAACCTACGATCATTCCTTAAATTAGCCGATGTGGGACTTTTATCATCCAACAGGGATGTTTGTGGATTGGATTGGGGCATTTTTTAAACCTAACTCAATTGTTCGGGTTATAAAATTTTCAACAACTCTGGTTAAGTAATGACGAAATTTTTTGGGTTGGGTTAATTTTTAGAAGTGGTCGAAGAATAAATAATTATAAAATTAAGAGAAAACAAAATAAATATAAATATATTATAAACAAAAATGTACAACAAATAATCAATTCAAACTAATTTAATATTATCTTTAAAAAAACACTTTATTAAATATAATTTTACACGTCATCATTGATTTATTTATTTATTTATTTTTCTCTTTATGTCAACCTCACATATTTAAATTATTAATTCATGTTTTTCTAAAGTTTTAAAATGGGTCCCACAACCTTGTTTTTATTATATTTACCGGTGAATTACGATATGATTTTTTAATAAATAGATTATTATAATTTCAAACTTTATGAATGCCTTTCATCAATTTTTAGAAGGAAAAAGAAACATTTTATCATGAAGCTGCCCATAAAGACTACCTTTTGAGCTGCTTTAGCTTTTAATAGAAAAATATGCAAAAATAAATAAATAAAGTACTCTAAACTTAATACTACAAAATTATCAATTAAACTTAATACTCCCATCTCACCACTAGAATATATTGTCCGCTTTGACCTGTTATATATCGTCGTCACTCTCACGATTTTTTAAAATGTGTTTACTATAGAGAGAGTGTAACCCTATTCCAACCAATACTTCGCACCATTCGATGACTGACTCTATAATATTTGTAACATAACGGGCCAAAATGGATAATATATATTAATGTTGGCCTTAGACTGTTACAACCATATTTAGAGTTACGTTATAAAATCTTTAATACATAAATTTTACATGTATATAATGTTTTTAACGTGAAATGAGAAATAAAGGGATTACATGCTAAATTTGGGCCACATTTAAGGGTAATTAAGTAATTTCCTCTTCCAATAATTTTTTTTATCATATGCTTTTTGAACATTAATTTAAAGTAACAAAATAATAATAATAATAAGTTATTATTATGTTATTATTCATTATGAAGTGGAAGAAAATTTGGTGCAAATGATTCAATATATCATCACGTTGATATTTTACCTAAGTTTTTATGATTAAGTTAATGACTTATAATAAATAAAACGAAAAAAAATAATTAAAAAATATTTATAACTTTATGATACTAATTAAGTTGGTTATTAAAATTATTAATTTAAATTTTGGTATTTTTTAATTATGAAAAATATTTTTTAATTATAAAAAGTTGCAATTTCTGAAATCGGCTACTTTCAATGGGCCACTGCCAAAGACGGCCCATTTATTTAAGCCCAGAAGAGGCTATAAGTGGGCCTAGTTTGGGCCTCATTGAGCCCAATTCAGCCTGTATAGTTGGATCATCAAAATACCGTACGGTTCAAACCGACCTGCGGTCTATATGAACCGGGGGAGCTTCATTCGACAAATATGGGACCTTCACTTTCTTCCAATTTCTTTCTTAATTTTTTTCCCCTTTGCTCGAATTGACTGAATGATCGATTCCAACGTTTTCGAGCCAATTTACGAATCTCAATCTGTAATTCTTCTGTTTGTTCGTTCAATCTGCTTCACGAAGGACTGAAATCTTGAACAATTCTGTAGCTGTGATTGCTTTTTCATGGCTAACGTATCGGTTGCTGCGGAATGGCAGCTCCTTCATAATCGGTACTACCGCAAGCCGGAGCTTTATCCTATGAGATGGAAGCATATTGACCTTGGCCGGAATAAGGTAGCCTGTGCTCCCTTTGGCGGTCCCATCGCCATTATTCGTGATGACTCCAAGATCGTTCAGCTCTACGCAGAATCCGCCCTCAGGAAGCTGCGAATCTTCAACTGTGCAGGTGTTCAGCTGGCAGAGACCGTTTGGCGGAACCCTGGGGGACGGTTGATTGGCATGTCGTGGACCGATGATCAAACTCTTGTCTGTGTGGTGCAGGATGGCACTGTTTACCGCTACAATATTCATGCCGAGCTTCTGGAACCGAATTTTTCGATGGGTAAGGAGTGTTTTGAGCAGAATGTAGTGGAATGTGTGTTTTGGGGCAATGGAGTTGTGTGCATAACCGAGGCCAACCAGATTTTTTGCATCTCGGATTTCAAGAATCCGAAATCGTGTAAGCTTTCGGACCCTGGAATTGAGGATTTGCCGCATTGTATGGCGGTAATCGAGCCTCAATACACCATGTCTGGGAATGTGGAGGTGTTGCTCGGAGTTGGGGAGTCGTGTGTGATAGCTGTTGAGGAGGATGGAGTGCAGCGCCTTGGCGAGGGCGTGCTAGATGGGCCGCTGCAGAGGATGGCCGTCTCTTTAGATGGAAAGTGGTTGGCAGCGTTTACCCACGACGGGAGGCTTTTGGTTTTAACTTCAGACTTACAGAAAACAATTCTGGATCGTGAGTGTGAGGTTAGCTACGTGTTTTTGCAATTTGAGGTTGTTCTTACGAAATGGATAAAAGTTACATAAGATGCCAATCCTAGTCTATTTTTTCTGGTCGTACTTGCATAATAACAACTGTTCACTTGAATGTAATGATTCAATGTTCGGGTTTAATTTTTTTTTTTTTTTTCTTAAGAAGATCGTTTATTTGACATCAAGATGATTCGATGTTTCAAAGCATGGTGGACTAGGACAATTAGTTTATTCAGCCTACAAGCATCCATTCATTTGGCATTTTTCTGAAGTTCCTTTATTCTTGCCTCTTATTCATACTTTGTTTTTGTGAGATTCCACATTGGTTGGAGAGGGGAACGAAGCATTCCTTTTAAGGGTGTAGAAAACTCTCCTTATCAGACGCATTTTAAAACCTCGAGGGGAAGCCTAGAAGGGGAAGTTTAAAGAGGACAAAATCTATTAGCGGTGGGCTTGATCTGATACAGTTTTCTTGAATGAATTGGACATCTATTATGTTTGATCATGTCTGTCTCTTGTTTTCTGGCTGCAGTCAGCTCTTCCTCCGGAGCAGTTAGCTTGGTGTGGAATGGATAGTGTACTTCTTTATTGGGATGATATGCTTTTGATGATGGGTCCAGATGGAGATCCTGTTCGTTACCTTTATGATGAACCGGTTGTTCTGATACCCGAGTGTGATGGGGTGAGGATATTATCTAATACCAGTACGGAATTTCTTCAAAGAGTACCCGATTCCACCGTAACAATCTTCAGGATCGGAAGTACCTCTCCTGCAGCTCTTCTGTATGATGCATTGGATCATTTTGACAGACGTAGTGCGAAGGTGATGTTAATTTTCCTCTTTCT